AAAATTCTTTCATTCTTGTACAATGAAAACTATAAAACATTTCTGAAAGAAATTAAAGATATAAATAAACGGAAAGATATTCCATGTACATGAATTAGAATACTTAACCTTACTAAGAGGTCAATGCTACCCAAATGATCTACAGATTTCATGCAATCTCTATCAAAATCCCAATGATGTTTTTTACAGAAATAGAAAAATCCATTTTAAAATTCACCTGGAATCTCAAGGGACCCTGAATAGTCAAAACAATCCTGAAAAAGAACAAAGCTGAGGACTTAACACTTCTAGATTTCAAAATTTACTACAAAGTGACCATAATCAAAACAGTGCAGTACTTACACAAAGACAGACATTTAGACTGAGGGAATAGAATCAAAAGTCTAGAAATAAACCCTGACTTACACAGTCAAATGATTTTTGACAAGGGTGTCAAGACCATTCAGTGGGTAACTAACAGTCTTTTCAACAAATCGTGCTGAGAAAACTGGACATCCACATGGAAAAGAATGAAGTTGGATCCTTACCTAATACCATGCACAAAAATTCATTTGAAAATGCATCCAAGACCTAAATGTAAGATCTAAAACTATAAAACTCAAAAGAAAACATAAGGCAAAATCTTAATGACATTGGATTTGACAATGATTTCTTGGATATGACACCAAGGCACAGAAAACAAAAGAAACAAATATTTCAAAATTAGTGAAAATTAAAAAAATTTCTACAACACAGATTAACCTTGAGGACAATGAAATAAGCTAGTCACAAAAACACAGATACTGTGTGATTCCACTTATATGAGGTACTTGGAATAGTAAAAATCATAGAGACAGAAAGTAGAGTGGTAGTTGCCACAGGCTGGGGAGAGGGAGGAATGGGGAGTTACTATTTAATGGGTACAGAGTTTGTTTTGCAAGATGAAAAGAGTTCTGGAGATGGACAGTGGTGATGGTTGCATAACAATATGAATGTGCTTAATAACCACCGAACTGTACACTTACAAATGGTTAAAATAGGAAATTTTATGCTATGTATATTTTACCACAATAAAAAATGGGGAATAAAAATATGGAAAAACAGTGGGGCATGGTGGCTCTCACCTGTAATCCTAGCACTCTGGAAGGCCGAGGCAGGAGGATCACTTGAGCTCAGGAGTTCCAGAGCAGCCTAAGCAAGAGCGAGACCCTATCTCTACAAAAAATAGAAAAATTAGCCAGTCATGGTGCCTCATGCCTGTAGTAATCCCAGCTACTCGGGAGGCTGAGGCAGAAGGATCAATTGAGCCCAGGAGTTTCAGGTTGCAGTGAGCTATGATGATGCCACTGCACTTTAGCTGGGGCAACAGAGTGAGACTGTCTCAAAAAAAAGGAAAAACCATTAAGATACAAAATTAATGAGAAAGAAAACAGAACTACAGAACTATAGAACTACAGCAACAGAGGAAATTCAAAGAATTATCAGAATGATTCATAAATTCCTATGCAAATAATTTGAAGATCTGGAGGAATGGCTAATTTTTTAGCAAAATATAAATGATCAAGAATGAAACAAGAAAAGGAAAAGGAAGAGATAGAAAATATTGTGGGGGGACTAAAAAGCACCTTAAAAATGCCAAGCTTAGGCAGTTTTACTGGGTGAGTTATTTCAAAACTTTAGGGAACATGTAAAACTGATATTTTAAAAATCTTTCCAGAGCACCAAGGCTAGTGGAAATTAGCAGCTTGACCTATGCCACATCCATATGGGATTATAGGAACATGGGTTGATAAATCCCCACAGGATTAAATGCATTACTAGCATATCAGCAAGTTTTAGTTATCTTGGCAGACATATGGTGGTACTTGAACTAAAACAGCATATGAGGGCAGAAGTTCTGCAGGGCTCTTGGGGGGTCTATTGTGATTCTATTTGAGCAAAACATCGCTTTCTCATTAAATTCATGTTCGAATTTAAAATTTATTGGGTTTCACAGCTTTGTATTTTAATTTGTAAATTTGTTTTGGTTTTCATATAAAAAGTATAAGCAAAGAAGTTTATACTTCATATTATATTTGTACGTATTTAAATAACAGTAAAGTAGAAAAAAGGTCCATGCTGAGATTTGTGAGAATTTTTTTTTCTTTAAAGAGAAATTTCAGAAATTCTGCTCTAGGCTTAAGGGAGAGAAAATCACTCTCTTTCGGTAGAGTTGGACTTTCTCTGCCTCTTCTGCCCACTGGAATGGTAGAAGTTCATGGGGAAAATGAGGACACAGGTAAAGAGGGAAGGAGTCAAGAAGGTAGGCTGTGTTTCATCAAGACTTTGGGCCAATACAGAAGAGCAAAAGGATTCCCTGCAGCTCTACAAATTTTAGTCCGGCTCACAAGCAACAAGGCTTTCACGTGGGGCTTGAGAGGCAAAAAAGCCTTAGTCATAAACACAGTAATTCTGTCCTGAGTGTCACTTCTGCACGTGGCTTTTGAAAACCTATGCAAGCAGAATGCAGCTGGCCAAGGATTTGGGATCTTGGGTTTAAGCCACCTTTCCCTTCATAACAAACAGCCATGTTTCTGCTTTCCTTTAGGATTAGGCACATTCCTGGATTAGAAAAATTATATAGCTACACTAGATCATTCATTTTAGGCCACACTTATGGTCCAAGCAAAGTCTATTCAGAAACTATGAAGAATATGGAGAAACAATGAATACAGTCAGTGCATGAGCTGTAGGTCAGAACTGCTCAGAAGAGAATCTAAATATGGGAACACAGAAATCACTTAGTCCAACTTCTATACCAGCGAAGAAATCTCTTCTAAAACATCCTGATGATACAATCTCTCCCTAAAAACTTCAGTGATAGAGAATTTACTACTGCTCTCTACTACTCTTCATGAAGGCCTTTTCTACTGTTGAAAAGCATCATTCGTTGGGAGTCTTCTTTATGATGAAAGAATAACCATCGCCCTATCACACTCACTGTAATTTGGTTCTCCAGAGTAGGAAAAGCATCTTATTTTTCCACATGACAATTGTTCTTTTCTCCAGGTTATATAATTCCTTGATTCCGAGAGCACCTAAGATATGGTTTCCACACCTATCTACTTCAGATTATCCTCCTTCTTAAAACAGTGGTACCCTGGAAATACTCCAATGTATCTACATTAGAATTTCACATTTTAGTTCCAGCTTTGTCTCTCATTAGGTGGTAATTTAACACAAATAAACCTTACTCTGGGCAAAAAATGCTTTCTGAAGAGAGTGGGGAAAAAAAGTAATTGTAAATAAGAAAATCAATCTCTGTGCACTACAGAAATCTGCTATTTAATATATTCTGTAGGTGATAACCTTTGTAAGAATATTTTTGTAATTTTTACCTGTTCTGTAAAGATAAAAATGTTTTGTATGCTATATTTCCTAAAAGTGAGGTCCTCCTATACCTTATTTTCCTTACTTTTAAAATGAATTGCCATAATAGATGTAATCTTCCTGTTTCACATAACTGACGGGAATGCCTATGATAAGGTGAACAGTTTTGCTATTCTTAGAAGTCAAGATCTACTCAAAGAGAAAGTTTTAAAAGTTGTTTGGGTTTTTCCCTCACTCTATTTTTTAAAATTAAAATTACTCCACATCCCATCTCATATAACAGAGTGGCAACACAGATGTAGGTTTAATAATTGTTTTAATTACAAATTTCTACCAACTCTCACCAGTCATTTTTCTGGATTTCACAAATGTATTATATTAACAGCATTATCTTACATTCATCTGCATGAAAATTAAGAGAAAGAAGGGAAGAAAGGTATAGGCTATATGAGAATGATAACTTAAAGCTTACATTTACAGTATGGTAGTCTATAAACATATAGGCCTATCCGCTAAGGCCTACTCTTCTATCACTATCCAGCTGCGTGACCTTGGGCAAGTCAATTCTGTTTTCTCATGTTTTAATTATCTATTGCCTGACTTCCATACCTAACAGTCAATCAGCTGCATGCAAAAATACCTTGAAAAATAATATGCACTTATAAATGTGAAACAGTACTACTGTAAAGGGCTTTATTTATTACTGATCTTCCTACTTTTAGAGTAATTCCATTCATATTTCAGTAAAAGTCAACATTTGTTTGCAAAGTGATGCTTTTAAAATCTCTTAGGGATTAGCCTATGGACAATCTGGTATGATTCTGAAGCTAGTGTCTCAAGTTTTAGAAACAGGATATGATACAGACATATAATAGTCACAAGCTTTAATTAATAATAAAATAAAATGCCTTATTAATTCTCCAAAATGTAGTCATTCAAGAGTAATTTCAAGATTTTGTGATATGCAAATTGAGAAGGAAAAAAACCCTACCATGGCTCATTTAAGTGATTTAAAATATAAGTGGTAGCTGTGGTGACTGGTAACCAACTTTTATCTAACTTGAAGCTTATTAGTATAGAAAAATAACAAAAGATAATTACTAAAAATCAAATTTCCCATGAATTCCTAAAAATTAAAATTCTGAGATTTTGTTTCTGAAAAATCGCTTCTTTGGCAAAACATTTAGTATAGACTATGTTATACTAAATCTATGGTACAGCCAGATATTTAGGTCCTTAAACAAAAATTTTTATAAAGAATCCCACTGCTTGTCATTTGCAAAATGACTATTTCTACAGCCTCAAAGTTCAAGGGACAATTCTAGATGATATTTATAATGAAAAAAAAAAGACGGGGGGAAGACTTTGGCATGTGGACTATAATTACATAATTATAAATATCTGGTAAACTCTATTTGTATATTTATAAAGTATAGCTAATATGATTATTACAAGTTTTTTTTTGGAAATTTGGAGGGCAAGGAAAATAATCTGAAAATTTATCTTTTTGATTTATCAAGTATTGAGCCATTAATGTAGTCTTTATACTAATATTCCTATATCAGTTCTCAGAATTGTTTAGTCTTTGGGTATACCCTAAGCCTTGGATGGAGTTGTTTAGGGAGTGATTAGATACAAGCAAAGTATTATGTTTTAGAAACATTTCTGGCTTATCAAAGTGAAAAGATAAATATTACAAATGCTGAAAATGTGAAAATAAGGTTTGTGAGAGCTGCCAACTATGTGGGTACCAACTAGAAAGTATCTTCATCTGACTCATCACTCTTGGGTTTGGTAAGTCTTTCCAGTTCTTCTCCATCCTAAAAGGAAACACATGAAATCAGTCATTAAAACAAAACTAAAAATGTAGCATTTTTAATGATTACAAGGGGAAACCTTACTAACAAATCACACGTCTTCTTTCATTAAACTGTCAATATAATCTGGTCAAATTAAATTGAATAAATACTTAAGTCCTTGTAAGTTAATTTTAGAAGTATATTGAGATGAAAAAGTGAAATGTACTTAATACTTGAACTTCAAAGTTAACAACATGAGCAAAGTAAGGAGCACCATCTGCTGGTCTTGAGGGGAAACAAAGGTTGGAGAAACAGTTACAATCTAGGCCTTGTTACCTAAATTGATTTTCATTTACTTAAAAATTAGGACAAACAGCATTATCAGCCCATTGGAAAAGAATACAGAATTTCTGAATGTACATGCTGGCGGAGATGAGGGCATTTGGGACTCAAGCTTCTAATTTTTTTATGTTAAGAACTTGTATCACCGCTCCAGAAGCATTACACCTAGGGAAGCTCTGCCATGAACTCTAATAAGCAACAGATTAACTTCCCCAAACAGTGAAATGTCCATTGTGTGAAATAGTTCATATTTTGTGTGTTCATGAGAAAATTGTAAATCTAAAGTTAGATGTCTATTTCATTTATTTAAACATATATTTAACTCCTTAATCTAATCTCCAAAAGATCATTAATTAATTTATTTGTTAATAACATGACTAATAGACTCTTCCAAAACAATTACAGGCAACTGGGAGATATTCAGAACAACTGCATAAGCACTCTTCTAGAAAATGTTTTACTCCTACTTGCAGAGATCCTTTTGAAAACTATCTTTTTAGTGAAATAAACCCTGCCCTTCTGGCACACTGTGGTTTAAGAACAACTACAGGTAAGACTGACGAGCTAGGCTTTCTATTTAATAAGACTTACTAATGTAAAAGATCCTCTTTCATGAATGAGCTTATTTTCCCAACTATGGTAGAGCAGAAAGAGGAAGGAGCTACGAGTCAGACCTCACGGGTTTGTACTTATTACCTACAAACCATTTAGCCTGTAAAACTAGGGAGACTGGACAAGATAACCTGTCAGGCATCTTTTAGGTCTGTAATTCTATAATATTCTATGACACAATTAAGGCATAAGGTTCTTGATACCGGGATTTATGCTTTTTCTCTATCCCTGACAGCATTTATCAGGAGCCCTTGCAAACATTAGGAGTCCAGTGAATATTTGTTGACTGATTTTTAAAAGTCACAGAGATCCAATATATTATTTGCTAAATCAGTACTGATCTTCTTTTTCCTTTAATAACCATGCTTTGAATTTGGGAGGAACAAGCAAAAAACAGTATCCTCACAAACTTACCCCACTGGAACGCTCCCAAAGAATGCCACTTAGATCTCGGATCCTTTCTTGCCTAGGTGCATATTCCAGACCTTGAGGCTTGCTGGCATTATAAATAAATATAGAGAGGAGGACTGATGGAGCTTCCAAGAAAAATTCCAGAGAGGGCCTGAAGTCAAAGACCAGGACAGACACTGTTGTGATGATGACAGTGGTGATTTGGGCCATCAAGACATGGAACATGTTATCCAGGAACTTCAGAATGAAAGCCACTGAAAGGCCCTGAAATGCAGTTACAAAAATAAGGGCTACTGAAAATGCATTGTGGCCGTAAAAAAATCCACAGTTCTTAATCTGATCACGGTTACTCCTCTGAAGGCCCAGGGTCAGCCCATTAAAAAGAATGCCAAAGAAATAGAGTTTGCTGTTCTGTATGAAGATGCTTTCAGTGAGCTGGTTCCCTTCCTTCAATATCTTTTCATTATAGATATTGGCCATTGAAGAAATAAAACACTGGACTATAATAAGAACATGGCCCAAACCAAGGCGAATATGAGTGAAAACCCTGGCTGTGGTGTTCCACTTAGCTTCAGGAAAAGTCCACTCCTTTGCCGTGCAATTGTCTTTTCTGGGACACTCATTTCTGAAAAGAAGGCAGGAATTGGATGGGCTGAAGAAGGCATCATGATGAAATCCATGACCTGCCAGGTTATGTTGTGAAGTTTTAGTCCCAGCAGTCAAGGCCACAATAGACAAAAATAGAATCAGGAGGCTAGCCCATTGTATCCAGTTTAGATGCCGCCTGTTCAAAGATGAAAAACAAGATTTTACTACTGTTCCCCCCACCCCCATATCAAGCGTTTCTACAGAAAACTCTAGACAGACACTTGAGTACTTGGTTGGATAAATGTACCCAGTTTTTGCTAGCATTTCCTACAATTCAAGTTCAAAGGAAACCTGTTGGTGCCTCTGCTTCTCAAACTTAATGTTTTTCTTCACTTTTATAATTCCTGTCCCTTAAGGCCAGTCATTTCTCCTCTTTGTAGATTTCTTTTTAACCTACAGGTTTAATTAAGCCTCCTTTCTACCTCTAGAGCTGATCGCAGACCTTTGGCACAGTAACTTTTCTTTTACTATAAATTATATTAGAGATTCTCAGCCTAGTTTCCCAAAACCAGAAAGTATGTAGACGAGCTTCCAAAATCTTCTATATAGGTGAATCTCACCCTATGCAAGAGATCATTCAAAGCTTTGTCAAATCTTCTAAGGTGTTCATAACCCAAAGATTTAAGGAGAAAGCTAGCTCCTGGATCCATGGCCTAATCATAAAGCATTTTACAGCAAACTACTGGCTGATAAGGCAAGGGAAAGATGATATTTTAGGTAGTATATCAGTTTACAAAGTTTATTTTGCTGAACAAACTTGTGAGATATAAAACACATGTATTATTATTATTCCATTTTGCTAATTCATTTAGTTCAACAGGTATTTAGTAAGCAGCTACTATGTGCCAGGCAACCTAGGGAGAAAAAGAAGACTTGATCCCCGTGCTCAAGGAATTTACACTCTAATAGTGAGAGAGCTATGAAACTAAATGATGTCAATATATTGTGTGGCAGGTGATTCATAGAACAGTTGGTATATACTGAGGAAGAAACACTTGAATTTGTATAATGAATGGAGTCAGGTATTGCTTCAAAGAGAAAATGACATTTGAGCTAAAAGATAAAAAATAAATTGAAGTTTCCCCACATGAAAAATGAATCAGTGATATATCCAGGCAGATGGAAGAGTCTATGCAAAGGCAACAAGAATACCCAATGCTGACATAGAGGAATATCTGACTTAGTTTGGAGTAGTCACTAGAGGGGACAAAATCTTGATGTTCATCATTCAGGTGAAGAAGGGGGACACCCAAGAAAAGAGAATAACATAAGGAAAAGCAAAAGTATAAAGCAACAGTGAAAACCAGAAGTTGTAAGATTTTGGTACCACTGGAGCATTTACTGAGCACCTACTGTGGGTCAGACATTTCTGCTCTATGGGAAGAAACAGTTCTGAGAGGCTGATTTCCCTAAGGTCATGTATTTATGAAAGAGTAAGGAAGGGATCTGATTCATGGTTTTTTGTGTCTTCCTTCTGGATCAACATACCTCTTAAGTGTATTCTGAGCTTCCATGATGCATATATAGAAAGATGTGTCTGATTTTACCAGTGCTACTACAGAGCTTCATGCTCTGAAATTGCTAAATGCAGACAAGCCTATATAGCAGCATACTTGTGCATACTACCACATATTTTCTCATGTACAGCACAATTTTCAAATAACTCTCAACTAAGATCTAGGACTTAATGACCAGGTTAGTATAGCCCTATGCCACGAGATAAGAAACTATGAACTAGTCATTTAAATTTCTGAAAGTGCAGGTGGTATGCATTACATAGTAGAAAACAAACAGAATGGAAACAGAAAAGATAGAGATGAAAAATGGGTGTCCATTTTACAGAAACCATTATATAATCAATTACTGTACATCACACACAAATGAAGTAATGACATAATCTACAGTTCCTTTAGAAGTTTTCAATTCTGACAGCTATAGATTTTCCACTAATACTGACATTGAAAAAAAAGAACCAAAATAAACCCTTAAACGAGCTAGAAAGTACCTACTGCAAACAATTACTCTTTCAAGGTAATGTTGTTGGGAAGGCAAAATTTATTAAGGATTAAGCTAAAAATTAAAAATGGTGGATTTTTAGCAAAGAAAATAAAGCTTAAATTACTCTGTAACATCAGCTGATGATGTGTACTTTTACAAATGATGACGGATTCTGCAAGGCAGAGTCTGTTCTTCAGTTTAATTGATGTTAACACAATAGAAGCTCACTTCACTGATCACTCACTGACCCAGTGAAACACAGGGATGGATGCTCAGAGTTGAATGTTTGCGGCTAGTAGGCCACTGCTCTTCCTGAGGGCTTCCGCTCCCAAGTGAAGTGTTTGCTCATAGTCTCTGCTCCTAAATGTATTTTTGCCAGGTGGCCTCACTGTTGTCATTGTATACATTAAACAATTACATAAATGATAAATTGTGAGTAAAAGAAAAGCGGTGCCGTTTTTATGAAAACTAAGTTGAACACTTTGGGAAGACAGTTAAAGGCAAATCACTCAGAAGATAAAAAGCTCCCTTCAAATTACTTATAGGTGAGCTAACTGTAAAAGATTAGGATATGAATAACAGAAATCTAGAAGAGGTCTATCCTAAAAATTTTTTCAAAGACTTGATGCATTTTAGGGTAAATGAAACAAGAAATCATTTACCCTACAGTGACTGTAGCGTCACATAGGAAAGAAGCCAAAGAACTGCAATCAGTAAACCCCATACATACTCAAAGTAAAGGTCTTAGTTCAGCATCAAAAGAATGATGAATGTCCATTTATATATTTTAAAATAAATTGTTTAGATATTTTATATATACATATATATTATGATTTCCCACTGCAAGTTCTCCTAGTAACTAAACAATTAGGTTCAAATAGTTAGGTAAGAGTACTTCTACCATATTTCTACCATACTTGTGGTAGTAAACCATGGCAGAGCATAAAAATAATAAAGTAGAAATACTCACATTGTTTTCTCAAGAAACTGTATAAAACACATTTCTTCGTAGCAGAGAGTGAAAGCAGATTTATAATGAGAGATCATAAAGATTTATCAAGTGAATAATTGATTTTGGAGACATGCTTATACTACTGAGTGGTACTTTTCTTTATTTTTCTGCCGGTTTTGACAGTAACTAAACTTTACATAACTTCCAGGACATCTATCATGTATGTTTCAAAATGTATTTAATGATTTTTTTCACAGCTTCTCTTTGAAGAGACCAGAGAAATTTATACACATTCTTTAGGCATAAATAAGAGTTGGTCTTGGTTAGCTTTTGTCCCAAAACTTCAATGTTCAGGTTAACATTATTATTTCTCAAAGCCAAAACAAGCAAGACTATACAACTTTCCTAAGGCTTAGGAGTAAACCAGTGAGGCAGGCTTTGAGGCATAATGCCTTCCATCAGTTTCCACTCTGAACCAGTGGCTATACTTCAAATGACAAATCTATTAAATATATTGACAGAGGGTTTCTTTAGAAAAGACAATAGAATATTTAGATGGTAATATTTTTCTTTTTCCCACTTTTGGATTTTTCTAAGTAATCCTTACATTAGTCACTGGACTTATTTTTCCTACTTTTATAGCCTTGTATTCTTTACCTGTATCAGAAAGGTATTTGATAGCTCTGCTAGAATCAAGTGTAAGACAACAGCTTTAATATTCTAAATGAAAAATTAGTTATTTATGACAAAGAATATGTAATAGAACACTTACGCTGCTACTCCTAGGTCAAAATTTCATCACCAAGGGCAAAAAGATATTCAAATAATTCATAAAGTAAATTAAATAGGGACAAACAAAGAAACAACATACAACACCAACAATAAAGAGATCAAAATAGAACAAGATTGGTTTTAAAATGTAATAATAGAGATATATACATTAATGGAGTATTACTCAGCTTTAAAAAGGAAGGAAATCCTGTCACATGTTACAACATGGATGACCCTTGAGGACAATATGCTAAGTAAAATAAGCCAGTCACAAAAAGACAAATTATATGATTCCACCCATATGAGGTATCTAAAGTAGTCAAATTCATAGAAACAGAAATCATTATAGTATGGTGGTTATAAGGAGTTGGGGAGAGAGGAGAAAGGAGAGTTATTTAAGGGGATTAAAGTTTCAAATTTACAAGATGAAAAAGTTCAACAACATGGATATAACACTACTAAACTGTATACTTAAAAATGGTTAAGATGGTAAATGTTACATCATGTGTTTTCTACCACAATTAGAAAAAAGGAATTGGTACTGGCACAAAAACAGAGCCATTGACCAGTGGAACAGAACTGAGAACCCAGATATAAAACCATCCTCAAACCAGACAAACCAGACAAAAACATACACTGGGGAAAATAATCTTTATTCAATAAATGGTGCTGGGAAAACTGGATAGCCACATGTAGAAGACTGAAACAGGAACCACACCTCTCACCTCTCACAAAAATCAACTCACGCTGGGCCACAGATCTAAACCTAAGGAGTGAAACTGTTAGAATTCTAGAGGAAGATGTTGGAAATACTCTTCTAGACATTGGCCTAGGCAAAGAATTTATGAAGAAGACCCCAAAGGCAATTACAGCAACAACAAAAATAAATAAATGGGACCTGATCAAATTAAAAAGCTTCTGCACAGCCAAAGAAACGGTCACAAGAGCAAACAGGCAACCCACAGAATGGGAGAAAATTTTTGCGTGCTACAAATCCGAAAGAGGGCTGATAACCAGAATCTATTTAGAACTCAGGAAAATCAACAAGAAAAAAATCAAACAATCCTATCAAAAAGTGGGCAAAGACATGAACAGAAACTTTTCAAAAGAAGACAGAATAATGGCCAAAAAACATATGAAAAAATGCTCAACATCTCTAATCATCAGGGAAATGCAAATCAAAACCACAGTTAGATATCACTTATCTCCAGTGAGACTGGCCTTTATCAAAAAGTCCCAAAACAATAAATGTTGGCGTGGATGCGGAGAGATAGGAACCCTCATACACTGCTGGTGGGACTGAAAACTAGTGCAACCTCTGTGGAAAGCAATATGGAGATACCTTAAAGAGATACAAGTAGAAGTACCATTTGATCCAGCAATCCCATTACTGGGCATCTACCCAAAAGAACAAATGATACTGTATAAGAAAGACACCTGCACTCGAATGTTTATAGCAGCACAATTCACAATTGCAAAGATGTGGAAACAACCCAGTGTCCATCAATATATAAGTGGATTAATAAAATGTGGTATATGTATACCATGGAGTACTACTCAGCTTTAAGAAACAATGGTGATATAGCACCTCTTGTATACTCCTGGATAGAGCTGGAACGCATTCTACTAAGTGAAGTATCCCAAGAATGGAAAAACAAGCACTACATGTACTTACCATCAAATTGGTATTAACTGATCAACACATAAGTGCACATATAAGAATAACATCTATTGGATGTCAGGCAGGGGGGAGGGGGAGGAGGGGACGGGTATATGCATACACAAAGAGTGCGATGCACACCATCTGAGGGATGGACACACTTGAAACTCAGACTTGGCGGGGGCAACGGCAACATACGTAACCTAAACATCTGTACCCTCATAATATGCTGAAATAAAAAAAAAAATAGGAGTTAAAAATGTAGTAAAATATAATACTTAAAAGGTATTCTCAAAAAAAAAAAAGGTAATCTCATAAAAGACAGCATTAGATTTATTAGCACATTTAGAGAAGTGTCCGTGCTGATTTTTGAATCAGTTAAATTAAGACCCACTCAGGCAGCTATGTTAGCACTTGTGGAAATAATAAAAATGGAAGGGTTATGGTTTTATTGTTCTTTAAATACTTCCAAGGATTCAAAACAGAGACATATTAATAAAGCAAACACATGTCTAAGAATCAATATTACTGTTCTAAAAAGAGGTAAAGTATGAATAAAAATTTTTTGAACTTTAGTTCATACCAATGTTAATTACTAAAATTAGCAAAACATAATTATAATTAGTGGTATTAAAAACAAGCATTTAAAATTTACAGTACAAATAAATTTGGATTTGGTTATACTATGAATTAACTTTCTTAATACAAATGCTTAAAAATTTAGCAGGAGATATTTACTTCAGGATAAAACCAGAGCTAGTGACCAATTTCAAGTCAGGCAATATATACTTTTTTACTTTCTCTTTCGTATTAATAAATTCAGTTTTAAATTGATATAATTTTGGCATAATATTGTATACTATATAACAGGTATAATACCATGTGTACTCATGTACTGTCATTTCACAGGAAAAACATTTTTTACTTTAAAAACCATATTTTTAAGACCTTTACTACCTTATTAAATAGTGAATCTTTTATTATGTGTTGGAACCAATTTGTTTTTTTCTTCATGGAAGTGAATCTCTAATTTTATCCCAGGAATCAATATAAAAATATTATTGTTTACATACATTTTTTGAAAAACCAACTTTTCAATCCTACATAGTGAGTTTCATGTTGATTTCAAAGACTTACAAATGCTTTTGGAATAGCATTCTTTTTAGTTAAAGAATTATTTTCACAATTCACAAATAAAATGAACATGATGCAGAAAGCAAACTTCGATGTAGTCTAACATTTAAACTGGACTAAACGTAATATTCCTTTTTTTCCATCTCTCATATTAAATAACAAATTCAATGTTTCTTTAGGGTAAAAGAAATGTTTCAGGAATTTCATATAAATAATGTATGTATTAAGTACATCACGGTTTCAACAAATATTTAGAGTGCCTGTGTGCCAACCAGTCATCTTTTTGTACACATAAATTATGAAAGAATATACTATCACATAGCACAAAAATCAAAGAGAGAAAGAGAATGTAAAATTAAAAAAAAAACAACCACAACAAATATAACAAGAAACAAATTTTATTTTTTATCATCATCATTAAGTAACAAATTAAACTGGAGTTAAGTACCCAGATCCTGTATCATCCTCCTGCCTTAGGACATTCTGATCTTTGCTTTGGAGCAGAGCCTAGTTACTTAAAAATGTTTATACTATGCAACGGTCCTCCTGGAGATAGTAAAAATTAGCGATAGCATTTTTTAAAGTTTAAAAACGTATTATTCTTATGAACTGTAATTTTGCCTAGATTCCTCAGGCAAATCCTGGTCAGAGCTTAAATCATATACTCAAGTAGTTTAATAAAGACTTTGCCACTCTATCACTTCCAAACTCCAAATTACAAATATATTAACAATCTTAGGAATCTCTTGGTTCTTTATTAGTGTAGAAAGATTTTATATAAAAAACTCATGAATTCTTTTTTGAAAATCTGGCACTAAAATTGAAAATACTAATTATAACCCAGTCAATTATCTTATTTTTGAGATGCTCGAGACACTTCATACATCTGATCACAGAGGATTTAGACAGGCTAGCACTGGAGCTGCTTTCCAGATGGGTTAAACAACATGCCCAATATACAAAGCCAATTAGGAACAAAATCCTGGCCTTGGAATTCTGAGGGGTTAGTGCTCTGGGTATATCAACTGAAACCAGGCTGTGCCATTTTAAAGTACGATATATGCTTTCACAGCAAGTTACTTACTTCAGCACTATCCTGAATAGAAGAGCTGTTGTTATAATGCTAAAATTTGAGAAGATAACAGCCATGGCCTAGAAAGAAAGAGAAGATAGAGTTACAATCAAAACAAAGTACTGACCTCAGAAATCTCCCAGCTTGTGGTTTACCTGACAAAAAAGCATTCTGGTCAAAACCCAGAGGGGTTTGTAGGGCAGCTATTTCACTAGAGGATTAAATTCCATTTTTATTGCTTGTTAAATTTATGCAGATATGATCAAATTATTGCCCAGGCTTTGAAAATATGTGTTTAAATTCAGCAAATGCCTATGTAAATAATCTTTACGTGTAGATCTGGAAATATTTATAAATTCTAAAGGTTTAGGTCTAGAAATGACAGTTATCGTGCTTGTGAAGCACACTTATCAAAGCTCTCGAAGTGCTTTATAGACTTCTAATACTGTTTTTATGGGTGCATAGAAGGTAGGTACTATTAGGCCCATTTGTATGGCAAGAAAATTGAAATACAGATTTTTAAGCATTTTTACTATTCTAGGAATTTTAACAATTTTCCTGGTTGAACTGCAATGACTCAATACCAAACTCATATTTGACAATCCTTTGGATTGACTCAAGTTGTTCTAAACACTTAGAAATGTGTTAACCAGATGACAGATTTTGTAACAGTTCATTTTTGTGAATTCAGTCATATTTCACGAGTGTTAATCTGAACATTTTGCTCAGAAAGTATGAAATTCCATCATTACTCCTCATAATTGGATCTGAAAATATTAATCATTTTTAACACAAATCTCATGATTTAGTTTACCCTGCCTTTCTTGGTTGCTATCACTTTAACTTGATTAAACCCCAAAGAGTACGAACAGTCACGTATACCCAGTAACAGCAAATTTGGCTAATACACAGCTAAATTAAAGAAATAAGAGTAAGTCCAATAAAAACTAGCAACAATTCCAAAAATATAAATTTGTTTTCCATTGAATTTTTATGGGAATCACTGTTTTAAAGTTTTCTCAGTATACTTGCCTATAAACAAATGCTTGTGAACCCCTAGTTAGGAGAACAGTAAAAGATGAGGCAAGTGACTGGTAAGAATAGGGAAGTGGTGGCCCTGATCAATGACACTGAGGGCAGTGCAAACCACCTAACCAAGCAGGCTGGCTTGATGAATTCTGAAAACTGTCTCCATGCGGTAGTATAGAATAAATAAAACATCAGAGCTCTTTGCCCCAAACCTTCCATGTATCTCTATTCAATTCCCTAAAGAGACTCAGGCACAGCAATATACAGAGTATGCCATGCGATTTATTTTGAAAGATCTGAGGTTGTACACAATCAGGAAGGAAGAGCAAAGCAATAAGCTGGAAGAATAAGGAAGCTGCAATCTTGCTTTAGTACTGGAGACAAAGGAAAAGGATATATATTTAGAGCTAATCTATTGAATACAAATAAAGTACAACACATTTATTTATTGAATGTGAATAATAATGTCATTGGGTATAGGAATTCTCAGATCTAAAAAACAAAGTGGAAATGAGAATGTAGGAGAGGACACATTCTAGATGGACTAGGCACTTACTAACATCACAGATCACAGAGCTGAAAGGAACTTCAGGTGATCAACTTGCCTAGGTCTCTGCCTTTGGGCTGGTATCTTATTACTATCATATTTTACAGATGAGACAACTGAAACTTAGAGCAGTTGGGGCTTGCCTAGTTACATGGCTTCTTAATTGTGTAAAAGAGTCAAACACCTGTTTTCTACTATAGTTCTATATTAAGTCCTTTTCATCCCACTCAATCTGATTTGGTTATATTTAAAAGGCTTCACATACAGGACTGGTGCCAATTCTATTTATAATCACATGCCTGAATTTACTTTTTAAAGAAATTTAAAACACATTTTGGCAATACAGGCAATAGAAATTTTCATTTTATAAAATATAAGGGGGAAATACACATGTGACCCCAAATGAGTAATAGGTAAAAACAGAAGACCAAACTCCAAATCTGATTACTAATGGCTTTCCAAATTGAAACAAAGGATGCTGACAGAGGTAAGAAGTAGTCCTAGGATTATCAGGTATAGATGGCATTTATATTTGGAAGGACATAATCCCTCAAAGAATTTGTTGGTTAAATGACGAGACTAACAACAACTACAACAAAATCCCATACAAATAGAATACACATTAAAACAGTTGTAAAAAATAAAGGTACACTGAGTGTATAATCATGGATGTCTGCTTGGAGGTCCTGATACTGAGATCAGTATTAGAGATTGGTGGCCATAGGATGGCTCAGAAAACAGGCAGACTGATTAAGGTTACATAAAGAGGGGCGGCTTCAGATTCCTTGGACCAGGAAGCAACTCCTCCATAGTTGGTGCAGTTTAATACAGTAATCTTTACCAGTGAGAGAATCTGGCAAGCAGGTCAATAATTCAATGTTCAGATGATTCTGGGAAAACTCAGGAAGGCCAGTGAGGGCAATGAGAAACTAACAATGCCAAAGAAAGTGATAAAAAAAAAAAAGACAGGTTAGTTCTGGCATTCATTTCTCTGTATCTTTTCAATGGTATTTTATTTGTCATATTTACTTACAGGCTGAAGATAGGATAGGACATAGAAGACAATCAAGTTATCCAGGAAATAAAGAAAGGCAGGAATGGACCACTTCATAAAATTACAGAATTCCTTCCAGGAAGCACATTTCAAATTTCTACTTTGATCATCTTAGAAAGAAAGAAAGACGTAGTAAATAAATGATCTTGACAAGAATGTCCATATTTTTAGAGAAATTACATTGCATTTTATTACTGATACAATTCTTTAAAAGGGGCTTTATAAATGTGCTTCCGTAAGTGATTAGCCTAAAGGAATCAAAAATAATGTGGAATTTCATTAGTGTCTCTCTTTAACCCGCCGCTGTATTTTATCACTGGCAATCAGCAGCACCCTTAGGAATACTGAATATCCTCATTACTGTTAACTTGAGATAGTAGAAGTATCACTTAAGGCAACTCAGGATACATATGTAGTTTCTCTTACTGCTCTAA